GGATTAAGGGTGTGCACCTCCACCACCTGACTCTTCTCAGCTTCTTAACGAGCCCCATTGATGGACCTGGTGCTACCTTGAATTGGGCACATAACCAGTGGTCAGCACCCATGGGTCCTAAGGACCTTCACAGAAGAGCATATGATGACCAGCTCTCAATACACCATCACAAGAGTTTCTCGTGGGTCCTAAGGACCTTCACAGAAGAGCATATGATGACCAACTCTTTACACATCATCACAAGAGTTTCTTTGCTTGCACTTTAATTTAAGGAGAAATCCTCTTATGATCCAAGTTCTTAAGAAAGTGACTTAAGGGAAGGTTTTAGTATCCAGACAGTAGAGCTCAGTCTAAAAATGGAGGGGTGAGCTACTTCCTTTATGGAGGTTTATTGATCTATTTATAAAATATTTGTAATGATAGACCATTAGAAAAACAGATTGTTCCCAATGGGGAAGTCCCCTCCCCCTCCGAGTGTAGAGCACTTTTCTTCATAGCTCCAGGAGAGCGAGCGTCAGAAACATTCTGCTGAGGTACAGTCAACACACAAATACCGAGTCATGCAGAAACAGAAAATCTGAGCAAATCAATAAAAGTAACAAAGAAGATTGAATGAGCAAGAAAAAGCCTATTAAAAAGAAGCAAAAGACCACACGGCTGCTCTGATGAATTTTATCAAATATTTATAGAAGGATATTTTTTACCAATTCTTCTTAAATTATTTCAAATAATTGATGAGAACAAAGTTCTTTCAAGTGCATTTTATGAAGCTAATATTATTTAGATACTAAACAAGAATCTAGCCAGAAAAAAAAGTTACAAGTCAACATTTTTGATAAAGATAGGTGCAGGCATCATCAATAAAACACTGCCAACCCCAATCCAGAAGCACATTTAAGAGGTTATTCGTGGTAATCACGCAGGATTCCCTTTAGTGATAAAAGGGTGGCTCAGTATATTGGAAATAATAAATATGATATAACACGTCAACAGGATGGACAAAAATATATTCTTTTCAGTAGACAACAGGAAAAGCTCAAGATAAAACTCAACATTTTTCCATGACAAAAACGGAACAAGATAGATATAGAAAGACTATCACTTAGCAATATAAAGGGCTGTAGATTTATAGTTAAGGCATATTAAATAAGGAAAGCATGAAACCTTTCTTTCCAAGATCTAGAACCGTACAAGTGTACTGGATGTTTTGCGTGTCAACTTGACCCAAGCAAATGTCATCTGGGAAGAGGGAACCTCAAATGGAAAAAAAAAATGCCTCTATCAGATTGCCTGTTGTCAAGTCTGTGGGAGCATTTTCTTGACGGATGATTGATCTGGGACACCCAGCCCACTGTGGGAGGTGCTACCCATGGACAGGTGATCCTGGATTCTACAAAAATGCTGAACAAGCAAGGAAGAACAAGGCAGTAAGCAATATTCCCCCGTAGCCTCTGCTTCAGTTCCTGCATCCTGGTTCCTGTCTTGGCTTCTTTCAGTGTGGGCTTTAAGCTGGATATGATAGAAACCCTTTGCTCCCCAAGTTGCTTTAGGTCATGGTGTTTATCACTGGGAAAGTAAAGTCAAATTGTCACTGTTTGTACACGACCTGATCTTATATGTAGAAAACCCAAGATATCACTGGAAATGATTAAAAACACCAAATAAATTTAGCAGTGTTTCAGGACTCAAAGTTTTCACACAAAAGTCAGCATCATTTCTATAAACAAGTAGCAGATAATCTGACAAGAGAGTTATTCAATATATAATAGCTGTAAAAGATTATGTATAATGCATTTAAACAGGATGGTAAAAGTTCTTCATGAGAGACTACTGTAATAAAGGGATTGAAGAAGACACACCTATGCACAAGCAGAACGGCAGTCTGTGCTTTGTGTCAGAAGAATAAATACTGTGAAAACATCTATACTCCCCAGAATAATCAAAACCACAGGCTACTTGCACAAAAACAGATGTGAAGACCAAAGGAACAGGATGGAGATCCTAGATGTGAACTCAGTCATGCATGGCCAACTGAGATTTTGCAAAGGTGCTAAGATCAGGCATTGGAAAAGGTCAGTGTCCTCAATAAACAGGGCTGGAGAAAGACCTGTATTTTTACCCATATTAAAAAACCAGTTTAAGATGTCTAAATGTTTTGTGCTGGTTAACTATAAAACAATTAGACAAAAAAAGATCATGTTTCAAGATATTGGAACAGGAAGGATTTACTTAAATAAGGCCCCAAAAGCACAGGTATCAACCAGGACTAGACACATGGGATTCCATATAAATAGAAAGCTGCTGCACAACCGGCATCCGAGTGGAGAAACTACCTACAAAAGGGAAGAAAGTGTTACACACATTCTCTCTCAGAGCTAATGTACAGTGCTGGAGGAAAAGCAAAACCGTCAATGGCAAAAACAACCCCAAATCACGTTAAGACGGTTGATAGATATCAATAGAGATCTCTCAAGAGACGATATACAAACACTTAACATGTTCATGAAAAAAAAAAAACTGGACTGCTTTGCATCCTGTAGAATTTATTCATCGCAGCCAAGTCAGAGGATCTACGGGACACGGTACCCATTTTAATCGATGACAACAACTCTTTTAGGGCCTCAAAAGTAAAGATCATCCACAATTCAACAAGGTTTCTATGATAAATTCTGACATTAGAACTGATCCCTTGAAAGCCAAAAAATACTGTTTGTCTTAATAGAATAAAAAATTGGGATGGATTACTGGTCAACTGTGGCTTAGCAATTACTATTGTTTAGTCAATAGACACCTCACGGTACCTTTCACAAGGCTGGGCAGTTTAATAATGGTGGCCAGTGTGATTGCCTACTAAACTATAGGAAAACAAATGGGAAAATATCACACCACAGGCAGCATTAATTCATCCAGCAAGCAAAAACAAGAAAATGGAGCCCAGGTCTAGACTCCTCCCGTGCTACTCAATCAAGGCAAATTATTTTTTGTCTTCTGCCTAGGAAGTCCCACCGGGCATGAAATATTGATTTAGGTGTTTGCAGGCCGTGAATGGCTGAGTTACTCTTCTTAACATATGATGAATTGCTTCTCCGTGTTGTGATGAGGCTGAAAAGCAAATTAAACACGATTATTTAATAAACATGAAATATAAACACTAAGCCCTATTCCCAGTTACCAGTGCGGGGTCATGAGAGTTCACTGGAGGGTGTGTGAGCATTGCTCATGGCAGAGCCTAGCTACAGGCTTCTATTATCTACCTCAGCCATGAACTTTGCTGCATTCTGCGAGACCTGATTCTAGTGTTCCCATGAGTGGACCAAGGGGGTGAGGAGCGTGTGTGTTCTACATGGCTGAACTGGGGATTCTCAAAGTCAGGAAGTCTGAGGCTCTGGCTGCCAGAGAAGAACTTACAGTAGGCTGCAAAGAAGAGGAGCAAACACTAGACCTAGTCCGAGGAAGAGGAGTTTGGTGACGTGCTAAGGGAAAGGCAAGCACAAAAGATAGATACAGCACGCTTTGGCTTCCTCAACTGGGAATCCTGTCTTGGTACCTTTCTACACATGCGCGTCACCCTCAGTGCTAAAGTGAGGATCTCTCTTCAAGGACTGTTTTTCGTATTTGCTTGATTCTATTATTTCTTGTGGAAGATACACAGAATAATGCCTGCAAGTCCACTTCACTGTGAACAGAGATAATATCAACAGTATAGTTAATATCCGGAGCTAGTCCCTGACGACATTCGTTGTGATCCCAACTCCAGCCTTGACTCAGTGAGGTGCTTGATGGAGCTTTTCTTTGGTTTTATGACAAAAAAAGGCCTCTGTCTTTGGTTTACTTAAATTTAAGTGTGGGGATTTGCAACCAAATGAGACTGTCTACTGCGCATTGTTTCTCAAGTAGACTCAGTTAACATGACCCTCTTTGTGGTCATTGACCTTTTATATAAGGTGCTTACATTGAACACAACCAAGGTATATTAAATGTATAAATGAGCTTAAACTGATGAGAACTCCCAAATCCACTAATTTAAGACTCTCTTCATCCCAAACATCACAAGCAATTCAAGTTCAGTTTAAGTTGACATCCCAGAAACTCTGGGAAAAAAATGGTGGATGCCGTGGGGATCTTTTTGGGGGCACTGAGTCGACACGTAAGCTGCCAGGAGACCCTAGAGGTTTAGTGAGGAGGACCTGTGTTCTTTACACCGTAGCAACACACACCACGGCCTGCTCCGTCTCCCATTGTCAATCTCCAGTGCCATAGACTCTGGAGGGAAAAGGCTCCACCACAGAGCCACACCCAGGAATCCAAGCACCCTTCTTTCTGTAAAGGTGGGGGAAAAACATTTACCTTCCAGCTCCAGCCAGCTGTTTATGAGAGAATTGAGGATACAAACATTACTTGTTGATCAGGCACCCCCCCCCCCGTGCCTTGTGCTCAAGTGTTCAAGGAAACGTACCCGAGAAATCGTGAGTCAAGGTGTTACTTCTTTTCCCAGCCAAAATGCACCACGGGAGTCACCCTTCAACACTTTTACACGTTATCATATTTGGACTTTGGGTGTGATCCTTGATCCTTGGTGTAACGCTGGGCGTCTGCACAGTGTTTCTTTCTGTTCAGCTGTCTTGGGGCTCCAGAGGGTAGCTTCAAAGCTCTGTCCTCAGGCGGTCCCCATTCCTCTCTCCCTGAAGGCTACTCCTTGGGTGTTTTAGAAGGCGTGGCAAGAAACACCTGTTCTGGAGCTTCCTTTGATTCTCGCTCCAACTCTCATGTTAAGGGAGTTGCTCTGCCATTTCCTATCTATTCCAAGTGTGTGTTATGAGACCCAGTTTCAATTCCCCCTGTGGTAGCTCTCAGATCCCGTTACAATCCTCAGAGCTCCGTGTGTGTGTGTGTGTGTGTGTGTGTGTGTGTGTGTGTGTGTGTGTGTGTGTGTGTGTGAGGGAGGTAGAGAACCAAGCGCTGGCACTAGGCTCCTCAAGGTTCAGTTACCCCGGGGCTGAGTCCCTAGCTCTGTGCAACGCAGCGGAGCGCTCTGTGGCCCGGCAGCGCCGCGGCCCCTTTAAGAGCCGGGCCCAGGCTGGCCCGCGGGCCGCGGGAGCCCAGAGCGCCGCGCGCGTCGGAGGAGTTGGGAGCCGGCTCAAAAGTTTCCTCCCAACTCCGGCCCCGCGCGCGCCGCCGCCGCCGCCCACTCCAGCCCGGGGCCTGGGGCCGGCCCTGCCACGGTCGCCAGGGCCACCGCCAGAGGCAGGGCCGGGCGGGCCGCGCCCGCAGTTTCACTTTGGCGCGTGGAGCCTCCGCCTCTCCGCCTCCCTCCGCCTGCGCCCGGCCGACCCGCCGCGTCCCCGCGCCCGCTTCCCGCCCTGGGTCTCCCGCGGGGCTGCAGGGGTGCAGCGGCGACCCCCGGCCGGCCGCGGAGCCACGCGCGCGCGGGACCACGGCGTGTGCGCCCCACGTCCCCCGCCGACCGAGGGGCTGCGCCCGGGGGTCAGACACCTGTTCGGCCCGGCCCCCGCGCGGGAACCGGGGCAGGATGAAAGTGACAGTGTGCTTCGGCAGGACCGGCATCGTGGTGCCCTGCAAGGACGGCCAGCTGCGCGTCCGCGAGCTCACCCAGCAGGCGCTGCAGCGCTACCTGAAGACCCGGGACCAGGTGAGGGGCGCTGCCGGGGCGGGGGAGCAGCGCGGCCGCGGCGGCGGGGCTCAGCAAGTGCCCTAGGCCACGCACCTGCCCGGCGCCCTGGACCAAGTGGCGCTCTTTGCGGGACTCAGATGACCCCCCGAGGCGGTGAGAGAGCGCTGCCTGCGGCCACAACTTTTGCAGGCTGCTAATGTAAGGGACCCGGGTAGCCCTGCCTTGTCACTCAGAGCCCTGGGAGGAATGGAGGCTCCCCCCCTCCGCCCACCCCCATTGGAGGGGTCCCTACACCTCGGGCATCTGAGGCCTACTTCCAAGTCCACGCACGCACCGGGGCAGCTCTCTAAGACAACCCCAGGTGTGTGTGTAGCAGGACCCTGGCACCTACTTACTAGAACACTGTGATCTAACCCCCACTGCTCACCTGAAGTGTGGTTTCTGACCCACTTAGTCCCTCCCCTTGAGGCACCTTGGAGTTAGAGCGCTGATTGGCTCAAGAAAACCTCCAGAGTTAGAGCTATTGATGTTTCTGGAGTCCTCAGGCTGGTGGGAGGTCTGCCAGTGACCTGGGCAGGAGCTCAGGTGGGATGCTACTTGCTTATACCAGCTAGTGTACCGGGGTCTCTGCTGGATGCCACACTTTCTATGAGCTGGACACTTTGCCGGGCCTAGTTTACTACCAAAATGAGAAGGATGACCCACAGTTCTGCTGCTCAAGTTAGGATCTAGTGAAAGTCAAGAGCTCACTTGTATACAAAGGGGCAAGATTCCATCTCTTGTCAGGTGTCTGCGTGACATATCGGGCTTCTTTGTGTTCTTCTATGGAACCTTTAAAAGAATGCTCCGAAAAGCCTTTAAGTTTTTCTCTTTTTCCTTTCCTTTCCTTTCCTTTCCTTTCCTTTCCTTTCCTTTCCTTTCCTTTCCTTTCCTTTCCTTTCCTTTCCTTTCCTTCATTCCCTCCGTCCCTCCTTCCTTCCTTCTTCCTTCCTCAGTCTTGTATAGCACTGTTGCAGTCTTGGCTGACCTGGAACTCATTTTGTAGACCAGGCTGGCCTCCAACTCATAGAGATTCACCTGCTTCTGCCTCTTGTGTGCTGGGATTAAAGACAAGTGGCACTACCAGTAGGCTTTTTTTTTCCTTCAATTCTTACATTGCCTGTTTTGTATATCTCAACAACGTTTCAAACAGATAAGCCACAAACGCTTGTTTTAGGAGACAATAGTTCTGTTAGTATTTGCTCACATAATATTGTAAACTGTAGTCAGTAGGTTGGTCCAATTTTGAGATCAAAAAATATAATTTTAATTTATTTTAAAATCATGTCATACAAAGTATAGAAATGACGGTTCCAAGCACATACATTAAAATTTTAAATTACATATATTTGTTTAATGTGTTTATGGAGGGCTCACATACACTGCTATGCATATGTGGAGGTCAGAGAATGACTTGCCCACCTACTGTGTGGATGAGGATCAACATAGACCTTCAGGCTTGGTGGCAAGAGCCATCTTGACTCTCCATCTTGTGAGGCCAGAGGCTAGAGAGACAACTCAGCAATTGGGAGTAGCTACTGTTCATCCAGAGGACCCACCACCAATATCTGAAGGCTCACAACAACCTGCACATCCAAATCTAAAATGAGCCAATCCAAAAGCATCTGCACGCATATGTGTGTTTGCATATGTATACGTTCCCCAACCCGTACACACTTAAAGGAATTGGAAGAGAATAGAGTGAAAAGCCTTAAAGAATTACATAGTTCTTAGTCAGGTGGTGGTGGCACACGCCTTGGGAGGCAGAGGCAGGTGAATCTCTGAGTTTTAGGTCAACCTGATCTGCAAGATCTAGTTCCAGGACATACTCCAAAGCACAGAGAAACCCTGTCCCTAAAAAACAAACAAACAAGCAAACTACAGATAGTTCCTAAACTGTACTCGTTACAATAGAATTGAAGCAGCAGAAAGATTTGATGTGCATCTAAAGCAATGTATGACTCTAGCCCATTGAGGTTTTATTTTTGTGTTATTGCTGCATTGGTGTACTGTTTATATCCTGTAATTCAGTTAAGAATTGAGATTTGACCAAGTAAACGATTATCTTTGAAATCATATTTTACTGGCTTTTGAAAATTGGATAAGGTTAGCAGCAACACTTTTGTAATCTACACAAATTATTAAAGTTGAATTCATGGAAGAATTGTTTATTGAGGTGAAAAATTTACCTTTTAACTCATTAGCAATAATGTACATCCTCAAATATTGTACATTTTGAAATTTACTATATATGTAGACATTATTACACAGAGGTAAGCTACAAGCACATAAATAATCATTGAAAGTAACCACTGATCTTCCTTGGATTGTACTTAGATCTTAACAGGGTTAAAAAGCTATTGCTACTCAGGTTACCATTATTACCAGACATTACGTTTTCCTGTGTTTACATTTATATATTAGTGAGTGTGGCATTTAAAGGTCACCCAAAGCTTATGAAATCTCTCTCTCACTTTTGCGTTTTAAAATTTCAATTTATGTGAAGAATGTTTTCCCTTCCCCAAATATTCTCCTCTACTTTCATCTTAAGGGTTGTTATAAGCAGGAGATTTTTGGTTATTTTTAGGTTATTATAAGTATGAGATTAATTAATGTTTCTAATGTAACTTGAAATGTCATGCAATACTCTGAAAAGATCCTATGCTTTTTATCCATGAATTTTTAAAATAAGTAATAGAGGAAGACCCAAAATGTCAAAATCCAATTTGTACAAGTTTGTTATTTTATTGTTTTTTATTGACCTACATATTTTTCCTACCTCCCCTTCTACCCTCTCCCATGAGCCCCATGCTCCCAATTACTCAGGAGATCCTGTCTTTTTCACCTTCCTATGTAGATCCATGTGTGTCTCCCTTAGGGTCCTCTTTGTTGTCTGGGTTATCTGGGATTGTGGACTATCTGTAAGCTGTTTTTTTGTTTGTTTGTTTTATGTCTAAAAGCCACCTATAAGTGAGTACATATTATATTTGTCTTTCTGGGTCTGGATTACCTCATTCAATATGTTTTTTTCTAGATCCTGCAAATTTCAAGATGTCATATTTTTTACCGCGGAGTAGTGCTCCATTGTGTATATGTGATACATTTTCTTTATCCATTGTTTGGTTGAGGGGCATCTAGATTGTTTCCATGTTTTGGCTATTACAAATAATGCTGCTATGAACATAGTTGAGCACATGTCCTTGAGGTATGATTGAATGTCCTTTGTGTATATACCCCAAAGTGGTATTGCTGAGTCTTGAGGTAGGTTGTTTCTTAATTTTCTGAAAAATTGCCATACTGATATCCAAAGGGGTTGTACTAGCTTGCATTCCCACCAGCAATGCAGGAGTGTTCCCTTTACCCCACATCCTTTCCAGTGTAAGCTGTCTTCAATGTTTTTGATCTTGGCCATTCTGACAGGTGTAAGATAGAATCTCAGAGTTGTTTTGATTTGCATTTCTCTGATGGCTAAGGATCTTGAGCATTTCCTTAAGTGTCCTTCAGCCATTTGAGATTCATCTGTTGAGAGTTCTCTTAAACAGTCTGGACCCTAAATTTCTTATTGGATTATCTGTTCTTTTGATGTCAAGTTTCTTGAGTTCTTTGTATATTTTGGAGATCAGCCCTCTGTCCCATGTGGGGTTGGTGAAGATCTTTTCCCACTCGGTAGGCTGCCGTTTTGTCTTGTTGACCATGTCCTTTGCTTTATAGAAGCTTCTCACTTTCAGTATGTCCCATTTATTAATTGGTGCTCTTAGTGTCTGTGCTACTGGCATCCTTCACAATAGCCACAAATACCGTGGGGGTAACTTTAAATCTTTGAAAAAAAGAAATTGAAGAAGACACCAGAAAATAGAAAGATCTCCCATGGCCTTGGTAGGTAGAATTAACATAGTAAAAATGGCAATCTTACCAAAAGCAATCTACATATTCAATGCAATGCCCATTGCATTCATGAAAATCCCAGCAAAATTCTTCACAGATCTCAAAAGAACAATACTCAACTTCATATAGAAAAATAAAATACCCAGAATAGGCAAAACAATCCTGTACAATAAAGGATCTTCTGAATGTGTCACAATCCCTGACTTCAAACTCTACTATAGAGCTACAGTACTTAAAACAGCCTGGTATTGACATAAAAACAGACAGGAGGACCAATGGAACCAAATCGAAGACCCAGATATCAATCCACACACCTACGAACACCTGATGTTTGACAAAGAAACTAAAAATATAAAATGGAAAAAAAGCATATTCAATAAATGGTGCTGGATATCAATATGTAGAAGAATGAAAATAGATCCATATCTATCTCTATGCGCAAATCTCAAATCCAAATGTATCAAAGACCTCAACATAAAGCTAACCACACTGAGCCTCATAGAAGAGATAGTGGGAAGTACACTTGAACGCATTGGCACAGGAGACCACTTCCCCAGTTGTACACTGTCTGTAAGCTAGGTAGAGAGATTCAAAAGGCTTGATATTTTGGACAGCAAAGCTTAATTCCTGTGCCCAATAAAAATGAGAGCTAGCATGTACTATGGTTACTCCATGCAGACACTATGCTAGGAGCTTATGTGACTTTTCTCTCACAGCATCAAGAGCTAGTTTTTCCTCTTTACCGATTGATATGCATGGTACTGAGATTACTTGTGAATTTTGGAATTGTGCTTGAATCCAAGGGCTGTGTTTTCCAGTGTTTACTCTCAGCTGTTAACCACATAGCCTCCTATGTTGCCTTTGTTAGCTGCTATAACAGCAACACATCATTGTTTCCTTATGCAGCGAGGGTTTTGTGCATTCTTCCCCACAGCCGCAGCAGAGTTGTCGCCTTCCTCTTCATTGCATTTGGTATGGCATGGTGCACGTGTTGTAGGAGAAGTTCTGTTTATGAAGTGAGAACTACTGGGCTTCCTGAGCATCTGTGAAAGATGTTCCTCAGCCTAACGACAAACAAACCAAAACCTGGGCAA